TGGGTCCGAACTTAATTTCCTGGATATTTTCTGGACATCTTTTTTAAGATTGCCAAGATCATTGGAGTACCATTTTGGTTTAATGTTTTGATGTTTTTTGTTTTTTCTAATAAAGTTTTTTTTAAGACTTTTACCAGCTGCCTCATGGTAAATATTTGAGAGTAAATGTTCTGCTTCATCAACTGCCTGTTGTGTGTCATCAAAGTTTGCATTGGAGAAATTATTGATTAGCTTATTCGTTTATGGAATGTCGAATGCGATACACAGCCTGGAATAAGCACAAACTATAAAAAAATAACACGATTCGCTATACGCACATCCACGACGTGATTTACAACAATTCCTTACTACTGGAAAATCACTGTCTAACAAAATCTTATAATTTGATTGACCTAATTGTCATAGAGTTGCAAGAAGTCGCTATCGGGCAGTTTGCGGCCCCAAGTAAAAATCCATGGTTGATTTGCAATCAACGATACACCGACGCATAATTTGAAACTCCTTGAAAATCGCAGTATATGGTAAGGCTATAAATCGTAAATGCGTATGCAAATGGTTCAAGGCATTCGATTCAAACAATGTAAGCACTGTGCGAGTATTAGCAATTTATCACTGGGCAAAAATCACAAAGTTCAACTTTGCTTTCGGCTTCGTCTGTGACGCGCGATACCATGCATAAACTAAATCAATTAGAATCAAAATTAGAGCTGCAATGTTCGACCATAGGTGGCACTTGTTGGAAGCCCCTTGTGTTGATGGTTAAAGATGTACTGGTTGGGTGACATGGATACTTGTTGAAAATTCAACTTCATCTGGATTGTCATCTGATTGCTGTGGCAGGAAGGGTACAAAGAACATGCCTGGATTTGTTTCTAAGGATTTATTTGACAACATATTCTGTAATATGTGTATATATGTAAACGTTGTGTTATATAAAATACTTATTCATACGCTGTAATATCTAATGAATATTTAAGCAATAAGCTCTATTGCCCAAACGGCATACCGCGTGCTTTTGCAATGATCACAAACATAAACGCCGAAATAAAAAAAAAATCTAACTACAACAATGAATCTATTTCCTGGATAGGTTTTATGTTGCTGTTAACAAAATACGAGTAAATATGTATGAACACCAAGGTATTATTGCACAGAACACGACAATGTTGATTTTCAGCAATTTACAAAATATCACAATATCTAACAAGCAGCCTATCGGCTGAGATAGCTCCGCTGTTAGCAATGCACATTTCAATTAAAGAACAGAAGACATCATTAGAAAATGAACAATATGAATAGTATCAAAGCAATCGGACTTACAGTTTTTAACAAGAAGTCGAAAATATCACTTTTTACCAAAAATGACAAAAATATTCACCAAAATTAGAGAATTGAAGATACCATCACAAAATGAACAAATCTGAGAGAGGTCCACATGTAGTACCAATCTGATTAAAATCTGATGTAGTGTAGGGGCTTTAATTATTTTGACTATAAACTTATTTTAATTTTATTTTTTATTATATTTGTTATTAATGCCCTTTTATTTTATTATTTTACTTTGATTTTGAGGATTTTTTTTTAATTCCGCCCTACCTACATCTGATCCGACGCCTATGT